TTACTATGTCATGATTCCTCTCGTCCTTTTGTCACCTTTAGATATTTTATCCTCTTTTGACTGCTTGTTAGGATTAGAGAAGGTAAAATGCCGACACTGAGCATTTGCATAACGCCGGGTTCCTGGGAGAAATATATCTTTAGGGAGTGTTTAATTTTGTCTCAGTTATCTGTATCTTAGGGAAGGTCTACAATTGCTTGTCAGAATTCCATTCCCAGGAAAGAAATCGTATTAGAACACTTATTTGGAAGAACAAAAGTAACCGGCTCCTCCTGTAAAATGGAATCCAAACCCCTTCTGAGAATTGATGCGATCATGTCGCGAGWAATGAATAGTGTAATTAGTCTCCTTTGACTGCCTTCCCTTTTGATATGAATGAATAATTTATTTTCAAATGTTCAGCAGTGAGAAAAACAAGTTGATGATGTTTTGCTTCATGGGGCTAATCACCCGTGGAAATAAAAACAGACCGTCATTGATACACTAATAGTTATCATCTCATAATGTGAAATACTCCGCACCATAAAATAATCTATATCAAGGCGACTATCAAGGCCAGTTTTACAGGGGATTTTTTTTCTTCTTTTCTTTTTTTTCCTGTTGTTATTTTGTTCCCTTTCGAAAATTCAGTTTTTGTAATTATAATCTTTAGTGAATATGCTACTTATCATACTAAATCAAAAAGATATTTCTGTATATGCCAATCTATTAAAACTGACTATCAATAGTATCGTGGTACGTCAGTTTTACCAAGACTAGTGATATCAAGTAGTTGGCGTATTAAAATTCTATTGTGGGCGTTTTGCACAAATTCACTTTTAGTTCATCAAATATCTTGAATAGACATAAAATATCTCAAATTCATTCGACGAAAAAAAGAAGTATTAGGACCTTTCTAACGTTACCATCTGAGAAAGCCTAGTCGAAAAGCATGCTCGGTCAAAGCTCAGTTGATAAGTATATGAGTGAAAGTAAATATTAAATTAAGCAAAGTCAACCTGCTCAATAAGGATCAATTTTCGACAGCTTTGGCAAAAGGCGTTCAGGTTTCAATGTACATGAGTGCAAGAAGGTTCAAAGCCGGCTTGTAGGCAAGCAATTGTGTAAGTGTATGTGCTATTTCTTACCAGGACAGTCCAGCAAGCAAGGTCTTCAGTATTTGTGTTCACCAGACGTTTGGTGTATGATGTGTTTGTTTAATGGATAAATATGATTGGACTATTTCAGGCATTAYACATTTTTATGGTGCCATGCATACAGCATATWTGCATAAATTAATGCATCGCATATTTGTTGCAAACGGAACTATAATTCCTTTGTGCAATTATCATAAGACAGAAAGAATAACAGCGATAATAAAAACAAACCARTACTATCTATCTCTACCTCTTGCCYTCGGCTTCATTGATTCTTCATCTCCTTCTCATTGTTGTGAAAAAATAGCACTCTTGACTTACATTATCATCTAACGACATATTCCGTTGCGAAGTATATTAATGTCTTCAAAAGAAAAGAAATATTTTGAAGATATTTTCAAAATCATCATCGAAAGTGTTTGTCATCATGACATATACTMTGTTATACTTTTCTTAAAAAACGGTTTGCAATCTATGGCGTTTYTAAGACAAATGTTCACTTACGTGCGCCCAAAATAATGAATAWTTAACTAACTCTTTAAKCTTTCCTTGATGATCGCATCACGGAAAATCTTAAAGTAACAGCGCAGGAAATAGCAAGGACGGATCMATGTAGAGGATTGATTAGGTTTGTTATAGCCACCCCCTAAGTTTAAAAAAGAAAATTACATCCATTATTATCTCTGAAAAATAGCTAAATGATCTAATTTTTCGCAGCCCTGGACTGGGATGTTCAAAGCGYGATTGGCTTTAATCCAGGGTTAACTTCATATATTTGTTATGAGTAACCGCACGATTAGCACTAATAGTGCTTTGAACAACCCAGCCCTGGATCTAACCTTTTAGTTTTTTTAGAATTAGCTACCCTTCCTTTGTAAAACTGAATCTGAGTCTACCTTTCCTGGGAGTTCTGAGGGGGGATCTAGTCTCCAATATTCCAACCATATTTTGGTCTTTATACAACATTATATTACTAAAGCTGATTAGGCTTAAGGACCTTTAGATGGCAGACAGTTTTCTAACTGACATGAAACATCATCAAGAGATCGTACGATAAGCCAATAAACTCGAYAGCGTTAACATGATGAATATGAAAGACGACTAACGATTATTTGATTTTTTTTATTCACAATTCGGCGTTATTTCAACCGATTATCAAATCGGTGTGTTTTTGATGTTTTTGTCATTCTCTGTGTGTGARCTGAGAACTAAAATAGCTGAATAACAGAAATAAAAGTAAAAAACGATGATATTCCATTCCATGCCAATAACTTGGAAAAACTGGTGATTCGATCATTGAATAACTTAGATCAACAACTGTAATTCAAGTTATATGACATTTAATCAAGCTAGTTTCAGTGTAGGTCATTTGATATTGAATGTTTCAGGCGATATTGAGCTATTTTTCATTAAGTACGTATAGACAAACCGATATAATTTACAGCCTTTGGCTGAATATAGCTTTCGGCTTTCATAGCAATAATTGTGATGACTTTGGAATGACTTACAAACTCAAATCAGTTAAGCATTCGACTATTTTACGAGAGGCGGACTATACTGATGTTTTAAACTGCTGTAATTTACCATCCTATTAATTTTTTTCGAATTATGAAAAGAGTTGTCCTTTTAATATCAGTTATAMCGTTGTAAGTTGTTTTTGGTTTTTGGCTATAGCACYCAATTCGAAAATCCCCCMAAAAAACATTGTGCGMAGTACCAAAACGCAACTTACCTCACTGTCAGCTTGACTTCGGTCGGAGTATGCCGTTATTCTAATGACTGATAAACAGGTTAATGCCTCTCTTATACYGTTACGATCCTGATTGACAACAAACACGTCAAGTTCCACTTTACCTTATTTGTCACTGAGTGCAGATTTGAATATGAAATATTGTATATTTTCCTGTTTCTTGGCCTTCAAAAATCTGTCCTTTCACGAAATCGGAATTTTAATGAATTTCAAATTTAAAATCAAAASTCATAGCTGTTTCAATACAACTGTCGATTTCTTTTGATCAACACATCCAGGAATGGCGATTTACTCTAAAATGTACTTGATCCCATCAGAACCAGCATCTGACAAATACATGAAATATTTAGGAGAAGACAACTCTAGAAAGATGAGAGCTTTCCTGATATAATCTTCAAAAGGTGTCATTAAAGTATGATTGCTTAAAACTTCTAATSATTCTTTTAAGAAAAACCTCGCGTGCGATGAATTCCAGACTACTATTTTGCTTTACCCTAACTCTTTCGCAGTTAACTGCTCTCTTCGAGCTGTAGATTCAAAACTCCGCTTATCCATTAGGTAAAATATTTCGACTAACTCTATCAACTGAAACTCGCCCATATGTTTTTGGATTATTTTTTGTGCAATTCAGAAATCTTGCGAACAGTTCTCATTGGTCAATTATATCTGTAGACACGTAGTTGTAACTGATAGATGKACAGGAGTTGAATACATTTCAATAATAAATGAATGAGTAAAACTGAGTCAATATTCAGGGCTTTGTTTATACATGTATCTTATTTTTTTAACTCGGAGATTGCGCTAATTGCGTTAACAATCAAAGAGTTATTGTAGGGGATAGATCTGTCACTCACTAAGTCACTCAGTCACTCACTTTCCTGTAAACTGCGTTGTTACCTTAGTAACTGCTATCTTTCCTTTGTCATAATTGATAAAACTGCTTCTACGAGGAGCGAAATGTTGTTTAAAATTCTATTCTTTTGCGTAAAATGTACAAATTGAAAGAAGTTTTTAAAACGGTTTCCGCTTCGAGTGTGTGTCGACAGTTAGAAAGACTCAAGGAAACGGATCCAGTGAGACGTAAGCTTACATGAAGCTTCTCGAACCTAAATTGCTSTTGATAAAAGTCGACCGAATATGACCATTTAAGAACTTCGAGGACCTTCAGGTAAGCTATCAAATTGCTAAAATTTACTGTTTTGTGTATATCACAAAGCCGCCTTGCATAGAGTACAAACACTAAAACTGTGCAACATAAATACCACTAAATTATGCTAATTCTATTGTTTTCTATTGTTTAATTAACACTATTTTGTAGTAAATAGTGGAAACTGTTGCACACATTTGATGTTTGTACTCTATTGAAAACGAATTAAGCTTCAGTCGATTTTCGGGCGATGGGCGATAGGAACAACATAGCATAAGTCTCAAAGCTTCTTTATTATTACACGACCATGCTATGCAGGGGACGTGTAGTAAAATGCTGCTAATCTCTTGGTTAGTCAGTTTTTTTTCACAATGTGGAAAGTTTGGCTTTGGTACATCTTAGCCAATCACATTACGTTGTGTATTCCGAACGCTATAGCCTGTCCATAATCCCTTTCGGTCCATTTTCAATTCGTTCTACACCGTGTTTCGTCCGCCATTTTGATAAATATTGTTTCTACTTACGAATATGGGACAGAACATGAAGGTTTACGACCAAACTCTGTCACTCATTACTTGTCTGTGTGTTCGGACCAAGGGTATGTTGAATTATGATGACRAGGAGATCTCAAATACAGAGATCAACACGCTTAGTACTCGTGAAGCAACGGCAACGATTATAATGATTGAATATCAATACAATTCTTTAGAAAATGCTTCTTAATTTCATGGCTATTCAAACAACTACAATGGATATGTCGAGTTTTARTGTAGATGGGCAAAAATATTGTGTTACCATCATAACAAAAAGTTAATAAAGCGTCACGTTGTAACCAAATCATGCCTTGCTATATCTGACGTTAAAATATTATACTGCAGAATCACAAAGGCGGGTACAGCTGAAAGAGCCACCACATATAAKCTTATCGCAAAAATCACATATATCTTGKCAAGGCTCGGAGGATCAAAATATTTTTTTTATTCTGTATCGTTTTAAGGCCTCATTTACTAATGATTTCACAACATCATGCACAACAGAGGGTTGTGTCAACCCTGTATACAGGGTCTAGTTATTTTAAAGTTGCAGCTAGGATGTTGCATGATAAAGTAAATGAGATGTCTCTAGCTTKAAAAAAACATTTTGCTACTGCACTGAACAAGATAGCAGCTAAATTTGTTTTTTCAAGCATGTTTTTGTTAATTAATAACTTATCTAATTTGTTAATAAAATGCTCAAAATACATCTAACCATCTTGCAAAAGCAGCTCTCTCAATCTCCGAGTTATGTTGCCATTGGCAGCTTGATTATAAACCTGTTGATAGCTGGTGGCTAAGCATGCTACATCTCACGCGTAGATTGGCTCATTAGATTGTATTGAATAACAAACTTTCCACTTTGTTGACACCATCATGTCCGCGCGCGCACTCAAAAAAACAAAAAACAATAATTTTCGCAATTTTTTTAAAAAAAATCACACGCTAATTGCGACATATGATCCTTAAGACACGATCTGGACAAATTTGAAGAAATTCCTTGGAGTTCTGCAACAGTAAATAACCTGAGAAAACTATTCCACTCCAGAATTTCTGATTTTTCTAGCCCAGCCCAGTCCAGTCGCAATATCTGAGTCTCAAAGATATTGGAGCCAGAATAAATACTCTTTGAGCATGATGACTGACCTAAAGTCGGCTGGCGAAGGTTTGTAGCCTTGATAAGTTTTATATCATAGGAGAGTAAAAAGATGAAAAATAGCTCAAACAGCTTTTGAGATTTTTTTATGAACAAAAGAAAAGGAAAAAGTAATGATCTATTTTCAGTGTGAGACTCCAACTCTTGACATTACACGTAGTCAAAATATTCATGCTAGTGGACACACTAATGGGCTGCCTGTGGCGAACTCCGGGAATTCCGGTAGATCAAAACCATTACGAACGCACCCCAGAACCCGGCCCAGAACGATGACGGTAATTACATTCCACAGACTTCCAAGACTCTTGTTGCTGCGTAGCCATARAAATCATCAAATTCGGAAATCGTATTCGGACTTGAAGATCAATGAGGTTATTTGAAAGTCAAGAACTGGCACAAATCTACATTCTGATTTTGATTAAGTCTCACTATCTTGGTGTCTAGGGTAATTGGGTCTAATTTAAATGCCTTTTGACAACCCMCAACAGAAAATGAATTCTTAATTACGATTATTCTGCGGTRTAGACCACATTTTCAGACGAAAACATTWCATTTTKTAAGGTGTGTAAGGTAGGATATGGTTTGGATTCCGAGCTATTGCTCACTCTCAAACAGACGTGATATCCGGTAAGAGTTTCAATTTGAAAGAAAGAGCTTGTTGACTATTGGAAGCTGTCTTTGWCTCACTTTCTTTGKTTTCAAGAAATATCCACATCAAATAAACCTAATTGCTGTAATTTCAAAAACGTTATCACATAGAAATATAAAAATTGTATTTAGTAAAACGAAATGCATTAATTAATTAACTAGATAAATGAAAGCTCTGTGAGTTTGCCTTTACTCCTTTCTAATGATGGAAAAATGTTCTATTTTCTATGACAATGTTTTTGCACTAAGATGTACTTTTGATGACTATTTTGTCAACAATAATCCTCTAAAGTTTTTGAAAAGTGACAAAATAACATTTGATTTACGGTATGTCCCTCATAGTCACTTTTGGGAAATTATATGCTGAACTTGGAAGTTGAACCAGTTTTGACTACATATATGTCTATGAAATATGAATATGAAATATGAAAACTTGTATAAGCGCATATACAAGTCTGTTCTATGCGCTCTGGTATAACAAAAAMCAACAAATTAAACTCTAAAAGCTAAACTAAACAAATAAGTTTTKAGTTMTTTCTTAAAGGACAGCARAGAGTCAATGTTWCKTAAWTCAGATGGGAGAGAGTTCCATAAAGTAGGGGCAGCAACGGAGAAAGAGCGAGAGCCATATGTTTTCATCGAGTAAAGTTTAGCAGACAGGAGTAGTTCTTTAGAGGACCGGAGCGTTCTTTTAGGTTTGTATACAGAGATCAGTTCAGAAATATAAGACGAGAAAGACCATGCAAATGAGACGGCGAAAACAAAGTGCACCCCAAATTTGGACTCGTCGTCCAAAATTACATAAGAATGGGTCCTTTTCAGCTGCGATAAGTAGTTTTATTACAAAAAATACTATAACTATATAAGCCTTTTAGAATTACTATAAGTCAACTGTAGGGTCAGTCAAGGAAAGGGAGGCATATTGGCTTGATTTAAGTGCAGCCAAATGAGACGGAGAAAGACTATGCAAATATACTTAATTCAACAACAACGAGACAAAAACAAATTTCATTTGAGTGAAAATGAAACCCCAAATCGTGAACTCAGTAAAAGAGTTGTGCTGTGACCTTTATTCATAGTTATGACTTTGTGCTAGCCTTTTTTCTTCCTGATGAACTTATTGAAAAATTGCGAAGCGAATTCCGTGCTAATTGATCTGTCGTACGACTTCCATATATGGTTGTGCATGTACACGGCACTGATATTAGTCTCATCTGTAGCCTCCTCTTTTATCGGGCTTCCTGTCCATCCCTCAAAAGGGGAGGCTTGATGAAGGAGACAACACTGATGTACACATAGAAGGTTCCCATGTCCCTATTTGGTGAAGAAGAACTTAGAAAATTTTCTAAAACTGAATTTTCGTGATATTTATGCAACGGCATACATGAGTAACCACGTTTATCATATAATTATCTTTGAAATACCTATATTTCTCCTATATTTCTCCATAAGGTTTCTCTAGATAGTCGAAGCAAGAAAAGAGATATTTTACAACATAGTTTGCTTTCACATGTAATTATATGATAAACAGAATATTACATGGTCGATTGGAGATACGAATTTTATCCTCTT